CTAAAACATTGATCTTATTGACATGGTCAACCATGAGTGGCCGACAGAGAAGAAGTTGGTGGAGTAGTGGACATATATTTTAGAGTATTTCAGGAGTTAAAATGAATATGAGTAAACGATTGGAATAGAGTATCCAGTTATTGAGCTTATGAATTGAAGAAATCACTTTTCAACACAACAATGCATCTGATGATGTCATTTGAGAAGATCGGCAGCGGCTAATGCGTCGCCCTATTTGCTTATCCTCATATCCTACTTATCTATGTAAATATGACGGAGAAAGATTGTTGGATGGTTTGCTAGCTATGCAATGAGTCTTCTTTATGCTTCTGATCAGAGACTTTAGGTGATGATGCGATAATTCTCGGCAAAGCTCCAATATATGCTATTGAAATCATTCGCAAGGGTCAAGGGGAAATTCTGTAGACAAAAGACACTCATTTTATCTATGAAATAGGTAATCTCACCAAAATTTCCTCATTTCTATCATGAATGCACCTCAGCTTTTACAGATGGTCGACATCGTCCACATGCATATATGGGACGAGAGAGGACTGTTTCCATTGCGTGAAATTTCACTCAGATAAGTCTTCAGCACTGTGAGTCGTAAAACTTTTCATCGTCATTGCCTTGGCACAGCGCAAGGTTGAGAACATGGTACTTTCACTATCAATATCATTATCGCTCTTACAGAGGAACATCCACAGAGTGAGAGAGCGAGAGAGTGATATGCCTGCAATCTCCTCCGACTTCGGGTATGCGGACAGTTTTTCGACTTTCATGGGTGTTTAGGCGATCTGCTTTAAGTTGAAGACTTTTCATTATAGAGTTTACAGAAGGTATAAGCAACGACGACGTTCATAGCGTCGTGAGAAGGTACATGTTCTTCTTGTAACGCTATGCACCATAGAAAAAGATAAGAACCACAGGCGAAGAGATTTCGGACATGCTGCTGTAAATATAATGCGCAGTGATATCACTGAATAACTTCAATCTAGATATTTTGTAATTGCTATTGGTTACATCGCTCCTTTCCAAAGAATTCCTATTGTTGTCATAGCAGTCGAGCTTTTCTAACTTGTGCATAATAGTACTTGTCACTTAATTCATTTAGTTGTTATCCCACACTTGACCTGATCGCTCTCTTTTCTTCTACGATGACTATGATCGACTCCTGCTTATTATTCTATCTTTGTTGCTTAATGGAAACTGTCTCGCATAGAGAGCGAAGCTATTGCGAGAAGAAGTCAATAACATAAATTTCATAGCCTTCCAGGCAGTTCTCCAATCTTCACTCATTACTCTTTCGTACAACAAAATCCGATCCAATCTCGACTCATCATTTAGAAGAAAAAAGAAGACAAGATGGTTTTAACTCCTAATTCGATGAAATTCACACATTGTTCTCCAGTCATGGAAAACTAAAACTAAAAGATGTTTATCATCTTCCACTTACCACCACAGCACAGAGATCGAACTCGATCCAAGCATCGATCGCCGACGCGTGTGTCCAGATATATACATAACGCGGTGAGAAAACTTGGCACACAAATGAAGTAGGTGATTTGCTTGTGCACAAGAACATCAATAAAATACGCCAAGTCCATGACACCTTTCGGATTCAACAAGACGACTGTTCCACCCACAATCAATGGTCCAAGAATCTCTTCGAGATGAATATCGAACGAACATCGAGCTGACTGAACAACAGTGTCGCTGTCGTTAAAGATGCCCATCTCCACAAAAGATCGGGTCCATTCGATGAAATTTCGATGTCGAAACTGTGCCTGGAAAGAGAGGGTGTCTCTGTGATGATATTTATCAAAAGANACACCTTTCGGATTCAACAAGACGACTGTTCCACCCACAATCAATGGTCCAAGAATCTCTTCGAGATGAATATCGAACGAACATCGAGCTGACTGAACAACAGTGTCGCTGTCGTTAAAGATGCCCATCTCCACAAAAGATCGGGTCCATTCGATGAAATTTCGATGTCGAAACTGTGCCTGGAAAGAGAGGGTGTCTCTGTGATGATATTTATCAAAAGATGAGTGAAGTTAACTCACCGCTTTCGGTGTGCCCGTCGATCCACTGGTGAACAGGATATAAGCGATGCTCTCGTAGTTGACTGCGATGTGTGAGAGACGATCCCAGTCGCTGTCACTCACGCCGCTGCTCATATTCAGAACTAGGTCCATGTCTAGTATTGCATGATGACCATCGAATATCTCTCGTGTGAATGCATGAACGAGAACAAGGCGACTATTAGTTTGTTCGACGAGAGTGTGCAGACGGTGAAGAGGATCTTGAGGTGACAGCGGACAATATACTGCACCGACCATCTCGATCGCCATGATGCCAATGACCTAAAGAGAGGAGAATCAACGCTCAATTCGATATAATTCTCTTTCAAGTGGTCTTACCATGGATAAACTTCGCTCGACACACTGACACACAATATCACCCTCCTTCACACCATGTGTGTCTATGAGAACAACAGCCAACTGTTGAGTGTAGACTAACAGTTCACTATATGTGATGCACTGTTCATCCAGATCAACAGCCACTTTTTGTGAATAGCTTGATGCTTTCTCGCAAAACAGCTGAGAAATGGTTTGATCTGTTGACGGTGGTCGGTGACTATCGTTGTTTTTCATGGCATCAATGAGCAGTTGTTCATGTGGAAGAATGAGCGACAATTGATGAAGAGGTTGTTTCTCAATAGAGAAGAGAGCAGAGTTGAACAGGTGATGCAGAAGACATGAGAATCGATCGGCCATTAACTGTACGGTGGCATGGTCGAACAGATCTTGTGAGCAGACGAGAGAGCATGAGATTCCGGTTGTTTGATTGTGAACAAAGGTGACCATCATGTCAAACTTCGCGATAGAATCTGATTGTTCTAATGGTACGGGCTCCACGACTGCACCATCAAGGCTTATTTGTTCAACGTCCGATTCAATCGTGATACAGTCGAACATGGTCTCAAGAAACGCCGGTGCATGATGACTACCGATGATATGTTGAAGAGGATAATGTGAGTGCTCAAGTAACGACAGACATCGATCTCGCACTTGTTCAACTAGTTGTTGGAATGAGCCATTTGGATCTAGTTGAACTCGATAGGGTAGTGTGGCCACGAACATTCCAATCATGTCTCGCAGTTCTACTCTGTATCGGTTGGCATTGATCGAACCGATGCACAGATCTTGTTGACCACCACTCAGCTTGAACAAGTATGCATAGAAAGTGGCCAGGCCGAGCTGGAAGAGTGTGACATTGTGTGAACAAGCAAACGATAGAAACGAGCGAGAGAGATCATCGTCGAAAGAGAACTGACCCACCCATGCTCGACCAGATCGTTCATTGTCGGACAGCCGATGTCGATCGACTGGTAGTACCAAGCCACGTTCCAGATCGTATCCATCGAGTTGTGCACGCCAGAAGTCACCCGATGCCGACATGTCTAACTGTCGTTCGTGTGTCGCGTAGTCAATATATTGTAAAGCGTCGGTATCGATTGTTAATGGTGTATCGCGGTTATAAGCGTCGCTTAGGTCTTTGAGGAATATTTGAAGAGAAGTTCTGTCGATCGCTATATGATGAATAGCAATGAGGATAAGGTCGTTTTGAAGTAGTAGGTCGCTGTTGGAATTACTTTTAGATAAGTAATGTCGGAACGGTTGGCAGTGGAAGACGAGGCCGTTTGATAAATCAAAGAGGTTTACGTTGCGAATAATTTGAGAAAGAAGAACTTTGAGATGATTATCATCTTTGAATATCTGCTGGGGCGCAAAATCAAATGTCTGATGCCGTTTCGTCACTCTCTGTACCAGCATATCTCTATCCGGAGCAAAATCGAGTGATGTTCTTAGTATCTGGTGTTTTGCCATGACGCATCGTACTGCTCGTTGAAGGCGTAAGAGGGAGACTGTACCAGTCGTAAGCTTCAGTACTGTTAATTCGTTGTACGGGGCCACAGAGTGTTGATCATGTTTCACATCGTGGAATCGCATTTGTTGATCTAGATGAATGCGCTCCTGAGCAAATGATGCTAGCCCTAAATTAGTCAAAGAATGAATAATGTTTGTTGGTTAGATTATGTGTGATTGCGTTTACCTTGAATCAAATGTAAGGATTTCCATGATGTCAGATCGTTTTTATTGGTGATATGGATTGCTTTGTCAAGAATGGTTGCATGTTCAGCGATAGATGACTGTCGAAAAAATGACATAATGGGCGTTGTTTTACTGTCAAACTCAAACGAAGTTTGATATCGATGATAGAGTTGCATCAGAAGCATCGAATGACCGCCCAGAGAGAAGAAATTAGCTTTTATTGATATGGGGCCATCGCAGTTAAGCACTTGACACCAAAGCCTATGCACAATCAGTTCCAGTTCGTTGTTCGGTGCCATGTGAATAACGTTGACTGTCAATGGCAACTCCACGATTTTGGACAAAGCTCGACGATCTAGTTTTCCATTTGTGTTCAGTGGAAAATGATCCATGATGATAAAATTCGATGGAATCATAAACAGAGGTAGACGAGACTTACAGTGGCTTCGGAGATGCTCTGGATGAATATCTTTTCCTTGTACATAAGCCACAAGCTGCTCATCACATTTAATGACAGCACAAGCAGGGACACACTCAAGGAGACACCTTTCTATTTCTCCTAGTTCAATACGTTGTCCGCGTAATTTAATTTGAAAATCTCGTCGGCCCTCATAGTATAATTTACCACTCATGGAGTCTTGCCGTACTAGATCGCCCGTGCGATATAATGATCCATACCGAGTTTGTTCAGTGAGATAGTCTTGATTATAGTAACCCACAAAGTGCTGCACACCATCTAGGAATAATTCGCCGACTTGGCCAACAAAAACTGGTTGGTAATATTGATCAAGAATATGTGCTTGCATGCCAGGGAATGGCATACCGATGGGAATCGTACCACAATCAATATCCATGCCACTCACACGATGATAGATCGCGCCAAGGGTGCACTCAGCCGGACCATATAGATTGTAGAATCTGATCTTGCTTCGACCAAAATGTTTGTCCATTTTAGCTAAGATTGCACAATTGATGGCCTCGCCTAAGCAAATTTTTATTCTAATGTTGAATATATATAAGATAGAGTGACCTAACCGAAAAAACCAAGTGATTGAACGTTGGAGAGACGGATAAGCCGGTTTGTTTCTGTGAGATAGTCGAAGAAAGTGGTCATAAACGATGGAACAACGTTGATAGAGGTAACTTGATGCTGTTGTACAGCAGCTGACAAATAATGGAAATCCATATGGCCATGAGGGCGTAGGAGGACAACAGTACCACCTAACATTATCGTACCCAGACATTCTAGTAAGTGGGCATCAAATGTACACTGTGCCAATTGAACGACATTGTCCTGATGAGTAAGAATTCCAAGATGTTGGAAGCAAGAGATACAATGAGAAAAACTTCGATGTGTAATTTGAACCTTGAAAGAAAGTAAAACAAATCATTATCTGAATAGTACTCGCTATAGTATATTAGAAGATTGGATAGTGCATGTGTCAAATAGGGTCATTGCCTACTTACAGCTTTCGGTATTCCAGTTGAACCACTTGTGAATACGATACTAAATGAAAGAGAGGAGCGATTTATAAAGAAATATCACGCAAGGGCATCTCACTAGATTATATCATTGACAGGAAAGGTCCATTCGAGACGATTGATATTCTTATCTGTCATATTATTGCTTTCGTCGTCAACCGCAAGACAGCTGTTAATATCGATTGCACGTTGATCATGACTAAAACGATCTGCAGTTGCTGAATGAACGAGAACGACCTGTGAATTTGTTTGCGCGACGAGCGCCGCTAGACGCTCGGGAGAATCATCAGGTGATAACGAACAGTAACCTGCGCCTGATGCAATAATTGCCAGTTGACCAATGACCATTTCAATACTACGCTCTACACATTGACATATGATTTCACTGTGATATTTTCGTTTGTCAAGATAATCTACTAGTTGAAAAACTTTGGCAAGTAGTTCGGCGTATGTCAATGATTGTTCATCCAAGCAGAGGGCGATCTTTTGTGAATAGATGTATGCCTGGTGAGCAAACTCTTCAGGAAGACGATTGAAAGATTGGAAAGGAATTTGGCTTGTATCGTTTTTAATTGAATGAATGAGTGGCAGTTCATCGGGTAGTAGCAATGACAACTCGTAAATTGGTTGACGGTTAATATCAAACGTAGGAAGCAAGAACAGTTGTTGCAGCATGACTTCAAAACGTCGTGCTATTTTATGCACGGTCTTTTTCTCGAATAGATCGAGGGATGCGTTGATTGTACAGGCAAGCCTATCGTTGTTCTTATCATGATGAAATCTGAGTGAAAAGTCAAATTTGCTCGCGATCTCGTCGGTTCCAATTTGTACCGAATACGGCAAAGCGGTTAATACTGTTTCTCCCATAAGTACTTGTTCTTGATCGGTACTTGCCATATCCGTTGCTTGGTATTCAAATGAGGTGTCGAGAAAGAGAGGTGACGCCGCATTGTTGGAATGCAGCGCAAGGATACGTTGTAGAGGGAAGTATGACATCTCCATTGCGTTTTTTGCCATCGCACGTACTTGCTCAGCAAGACAAGTGAAGGTGGCACATGGATCCAAATGACGAAGATGCAACGGAATTGCATTAACGAACATTCCAATAATTGAATGCAACTCATCTTTGTATCTTCCGTTAATGTTCATTCCAACACAGAGATCTTGCTCTCCGTTGGTTAACTTGAATAAGAAGGCATAGTAGCAGGCGAGTAACAAGTATTCGGGTGTTGTGCCGCTCTTCGCCGCGTGTGCCAAAATAGCGTGTGAAAGATCCGGACCGAATTCGAATGACACCGATATACCACGACCTGTGCGCTGTTCATCCGACAGACGATGTCGATCGAAAGGTAATGGAATGGGTCGATCGAACTCATAATCGCGCAGTGTTTCGAGCCAGAAGTCTTGAGCCATCGACATAGGCATTTGTCGCTCGGCGATGGCATCTAAACGCACATAATGAAACATAGTGAGTGAGTGAGTGAGAACAAAAAGAAGAAGAAGAAGAAGGTGTCCATACTCACAGTCGAGATAGCGCAGTTGATTGTCGTCGTCCAGCTGCAGTTCACCCATTAGATATGCTTGTTCGAGATCACGATGAAACATAGGCATCGAAGGAAAGTCGAACATCGCATGATGGAAGTTGAAAATGATGACATCGCCTTCGTCAAGATCGTTGCTAGTCGAGTTTCGTCGTACGACATGTAATCGAGAGACAAGACCTTTGGCAAGGTCAAAATGGGAGGAGTTGCCTCGTTCATCATGCATGATCGTCAGCAAATTGTCATCTGTTTCGATTGTCGAGTCAACGAATGTGAAGAGTTGTTCATTGTGTTGAGGTTGAACAATACGTTGAACAAGTTCTTGCTTGTCAGCGTCGAAGAAGAGCGCAGTGCGTAGTACATGGTGCTTCATGATGACCAGTTGTAACGCGTGGCGTAATCTTGTGATAGACAATGTGCCAGTTTCGATGCGATAAAGAAAAGGCATGTTATAGATAGCTACTTGAGGCTGATCACAATCAAACCTGACACGTTCATCAAGCCATATGCGAGCTTGAGCGAATGAAGCTGGTCCTATTAACAGACAAGTTACCATGCGAAAGTTTTCTTCATCTTAAAAAAAATCTTTACTCAATACCTTCATTAACGTGTGCTACTCGATTGAAAGTGGTCAGTTGTATTTCACCAATCTCATTTGGTAAAAGTAAAGATAGCTCCTTAATTGATGTCTTCTCACAACGAAACTTTTCTTCAAGAAATACTTGTTTGAGCATGTGTCCGAATCGTGCGCTGAAATTCGTCACCGTTGTCTCGGAAAATATATCCTTCGAGCAAATGAAAGAGCAAGAAATTTCTGTCGCCGAACGCTGAACAAGTGTCAGCATCAAGTCAAACATAGCCACTGAATCTGATTGCTGTAGTGACACTGACTCGAGCATTGTACCGCCAAGGTTTACTTGTTCAACATTCCACTCAATCGTGATATAATCGAACATAGTCTCAAGAAATGCCGGTGCATGATGACTACCGATGATGTGTTGAAGAGGATAGTGTGAGTGCTCGAGTATCGACAGACATCGATCTCGCACTTGTTCAACCAGTTGTTCGAATGAGCCATTTGGATCTAGCTGAACTCGATAGGGTACTGTGGCCACGAACATTCCAATCATGTCTCGCAGTTCTACTCTGTATCGGTTGGCATTGATCGAACCGATGCACAGATCTTGTTGACCACCACTCAGCTTGAACAAGTATGCATAGAAAGTGGC